TAACTAACTACTCTCTCTCTCTCTCTCTCTCTCTCTCTCTCTCTCTCTCTCTCTCCATATCTACTATACTCCAATTGTCAAAATTTTCTGGTATGAGGCAGCAAATGTAGCAAAGGAGCCACAACATGTGGTGAGCAGTATGATTTTCGACAAATAATTGACACAACAAAAGAATGACAAACAGACCTCCATGTGTTTTCTTAATGGCACACAATTTTGAAAACGAGCATATTGATAATCTCAACTTTCGGAATCCGAAAGCCATATTTGATATCTTGGAGAGAGATCAGTATCTCTAAACGAATTCTCAAAGAAAAAAATAGGGAAATTTACTGTCAAGTCCCCATACAAGATCAATATTTAAAAAAAAAAGGAAAAAAGAAAGACCGCATATACATTTCACATTGAAGTCCGACTTTTCGTTTTTGATTTTTTTTCCAATTATTTTCAATGAGTGAAGGCTGGGTCTGGAACATTGAGTTCGAACCCCATTTTTCAGGTGAAAACGGATTGGAACTTGAGATCCGGATCCAACTATCACTCAAAATAATTGTGTAGATACACACAATGGAAGTCTGAAAACATCACACAATTTTGTGGAAGACTAGGTTCGGACCTTCAAGTTCCAAACCCTTTTTTTTTTAGTTAAACCTGGGTTTTTGAACTTGAAGGTCCGACTCAGGCTTTCAGTTAAAAATATGTGTCAGGTTCGAACATGGAAGTCCAAACCCAACACACATTCTTTTGAGTGAAAGCTGGGTCCGGATTCAACCTTTACTCATAAAAGGAAAAAGAACAACATTCGAACTTTGGATGTCCGAAAAGGGATTGGCTTGGAAAAAATATAAACTAATGAGAAAAAGTAGGACTTCAAGATAAAATATAGACTACGTTTTTAATTTATTTGTTTATCATTTATTTATTTTTAAACTAACGATCATGTACAAGGAGTTTTCTTAAATTTCCCACAAAAAATATAAAACCACTAGCGGGCATTATCATAAAAGACACCATATATATAATACCTCTTGTGGGAGAGCCAGACCATGAATATTGATTGCTAGGGCTCTGCCGATTATGTGAAGCTTTGATAAGTGCCTTTTGAGCACCCATCTTAGGTGGGGTTCTCCTAAAAAATTCAGCCTTAGTGCGATTACCTGGTGGATGCCACATATTCCGCTTTCCTGAACGTGGTCTCCACCTGCATACATCCCCAAATATCATTTCCTAACAAATGATAGAGAAAAAGAGAAAACAGAAAAAAAAGGAACGGAAAGCAGAGCTCTGCTTCACATGAGTTAAGCAGGATTTGAATTCTATTTGAATTTCCATACCTCATGCAAGACATGAGACTGCACAAGCACCAGCAAGCAGCTAATGACCCCGTCGCCAAGAGAGCATCTTTTGAGCTCTGGTGAAATATTCATGATTAGTGCCATTCAAGGTTTCCAGAAAATCGGAAGCTATAATCTAATGGACAGTAAAAACAGTAGTCCATTGGGATCATCACCATTCGATGATATAATGGATGGTGATGGAGACAGATCAGGACCCACCATTGGGGCTCTGTCCTGTTCTGCTGGATCCACTCTCTCCATCGCCATCCATCGTTTCATTGGAATAATGATGGCCCCAATGAATTCTAGCTTTCCAAATCCAAAGTCCACTGGACTATAGTAGACTTTTTTCTCAAACTACACGTGCGACGAAACCAAACATGAAAGTGATATCCCAGGATACTGGCAAATATATAGCTAATAGTTTTTAACCACTAGTGTTCCAGGACTGGTTGGACTAGGCCTTAGCTAGAGACTTTCTACTTTGATTTGATTTTCTTTTTTACTTTTTGTTTTTGTCAAAAACAAGTGTTTTAACTTTTAGAAGAAGAATCAGATCATTAAGTGTGCGTCCTAGTTTAAGGTGGGGAATATGTCAGATTATATTGAAGGATCTAAAAAGGATATATTATTAAAAAAAAAAAAATCCTCACAATAGAAAAAGTTAAGAAACTAAAACAAGTGGACTATGTCAGATTATATTGAAGGATCTAAAAAGAAGATATCATTTAAAAAAAAAAAACCCTCACAAGGGTCAGAAAAAGTTAAGAAATTGTTACAGCCACATTTCAAATCAAACTATCTCATAAGCTCTCCTTGGTTACAGTTCAGAGATCTTACAAACCATCGAACCCTAAAAATCCAAGAGAAAAAACAATCTCAGCCTAAGTAATGTCTTTAACCATTGACGTTAGTGGCACAGGAGCCAACACATCAATCCCAATACCAAAGAAGGACTACCTTTTTTCTTGTGTGGCTAAAAGAAGCACTACCTGAAGTATACAAACTGTCCCAATAATCCGCATGGCCCACTTCACAAATTGAGCAACTCCAATATCAACACTGCCATCTTCTGAAAGTACAAATTTTCGCACACCCCAATATCCTAGCCATGCTCCAGCAATTAATATTCCTACCACTAGAAATATAGACACCTGAAAGCAGAACACATCACAAGAACAAATGTCAGCAAATGCAATTTAAATAGCGAGGAAGAAAAAGTTGAGAAGCAAGAATTTTCAATGAGTTGGAGGGACATGCATTATAGATAGCAATATTAAACTATTATTTGCATTAGATCTCTGTTTATGATGGAACCATTTATTTGGGAGAACAGGACTAAAGAATATCAATCTACCATGCAACATGGGAACAAAAGATGCCTAGCTGGAAAAAAGGTTTAGGTCGAAGGAGGTCAATGAATAACACAATTCAGGTGAAGGGAGGTATCTGTATCATACAGTTAATGCAGAGGGAGGTCCATATATTATGGGAGAGCATTTGTGTGTGCATGAGTATATACACCAGCACAAAAAAAAAATTATTTACACACGCATACAAGTATGTACATAGGACTACTTCTATGTTAATGCATGCATTTGAGAGTGTTCTCAATTATCACACAGAAAAATATGAGGTTTAGACTACAAATGGTCATATACTTATATTTTCAATTAACTTACGTAATGAAAAATGTGGTTTAGACTACAACAATTGGCCCAATGAGATAGCCTCCAATATATATATATACGGGAAAAGATGGCATACGCCCATTCACGTATTGGTTTTGGTATGCCAACGGCCCGGATTAACGGGGTTAAAATGAAGGGTCGCCATTCAAATGGGGAAACTCTCGCTGCAGAAGGGAAACTCCATTTGAAATGGAGACAGCTTAGGCCTGCAAACTCCGGCCTACTGTGCAGAGATGGCAGGCCTACCTGGCTCAAACCCTTTTCATACTCCATCTCTCTCTCTACCGATGCATCCACTCCCTCTCTCTAAACCACAAGAAATCAACTACCATTCCCCTTCTCTCTCTAAAGCCAGACGAGCCGTCTCCCTCGAGCCCTTTCTCTCTCTAAACCAGAAATATAGAAATCTCTCTCTCTCTCTCCATTTTCCTCTCTATCTTTCACAAACTACAGGAAACCTAATACACCCTCGCGCTCTCTCTCTCTAAACCAGAAATACATAAATCTCTCTCTCAATTTTCCTCCCTATCTTTCACAAACCACAGAAGGGAAGCCCTACCAAACTGTCGTCTCCCTCTCTCTGCGCCTCTCATACGATAACAGAAGTGAAAGCCCTCTCTCGTTCGCAGTCACAGAGGTACGAATAGAGTGGATTATTCATGTATTTTTGGTTTGAAACCCTATGATGGGTTTGTAGTTATGGGTTATTGGTTTGAAAACCCTGTGATGGGTTTGCATATTGCATATTTCATTACTATGATGGGTTTGTTCTAATGCTGTAAATCTGCATTTTTTGCTTTGAAAAATAGGAGATGGGTTCGTTCTAATGCTGTAAATCTGCGTTTTTTGCTTTGAAAAATAGGAGATGGGTTTGTTCTAATGCTGAAAATCTGTGTTTTTTGCTTTGGAAAATAGGAGATGGGTTTGTTCTAATGCCGTAAATCTGCGTTTTTTGCTTTGAAAAATAGGAGATGTACTACTGCATTTTCAAAATATCGAGCCCAAAGATCCTAGATTTTGGGGCTAGATCTACACAAAACTAGGCTTTAATCCAAATAATTAAACCAAAAATATAATTCTTTAACGAATAATGAATCAAATGAACTAGATTTCACTAAAATAGAAGATTTAATCTTCAATTGGTGGCCTGTGACGAAATGCCCAAAATTAAATTGAAAAAAAAAAAATACATGTTTCAGATTCAATTGGCGGGCTATTTCTTTTTCAATGGCAAATTTTTTTTTTAGACATTAGCTGTCCCATTATCATTGTTATTTCAATGGAAAAGGTTACTGATGATGTTCCCATTATCCTTGATATTTCAATGGAAAAGTCTACTGATGCGCTTGAACTTGATTCATATGCGCTCATCTTATTTTTCTTTCATCACCATTTTTTAGGACTATTTCTTTTTCAATGGCATTTTTTTTTTTAATACATTATCTGTCCCATTATCATTGTTATTTCAATGGAAATGGTAATTGATGAAGTTCACAATATCCTTGATATTTCAATGGAAAAGTATACTGATGAGCTTGAATTTGATTCATATGTGCTCATCCTATGTAACTTTCATCACCATTATATAGTTTATTTTTCTATGTAGGGTCTGTTGAAAAACTTAGATGGATCACACCGTTTTAGACTTGTGTCATCTCCCACTTGTGCAATTGGAGACAACATGGGTGACACTAATGAGCCCATGGAGCAGGTTCTTTATCTTGCAACCCCTCCTAGAAAATTTACAGAAATGCAAGATGGGAAACCTGACCCCTCAACCAAAGGCCTAGAAACAAATGCACCTCGTGTAAGAATGAAGTTTTCTTCAGAAGAATATGCAATTGACTATTATAAGGCTTATGCATTGGCCAAAGGCTTTGGTATCCGGTTGGGGATTACCCATAATAAAAAAAGTGAAAGGATTGATAGAGAAATTATTTGCTCTAAAGAAGGATTTCACAAAGTGAAAGAGCAGATTAGTGGAAAGGAACTCCTTGAATCAGGTGTGGGTGTAAGGCTAAGCTAGGACTCAGTAGAAAAGCGGACAATAAGTGGGTTGTGACTAGGTTTGTTGATGATCACAATCACGATCTAGTTAGTCCAAGAAAAGCTTGTTTAATTTGCAGCCACCGAACATTGTCTAGTGCCACAAAGTTGATAATAAATTCAATGAGTTTGGTAATGGTTAGGCCAAGACATATTCATAGAGCAAGCTGGAGGGATCGAGAATGTTACATGTACACAAAATGACATCGAAAATGAAATTACTAGTGCCAGAAGAAAACTACCAAGAGAAGATGGTAGTCTAGTTATGCAATGGCTCTATAAAATGAAAGAATCGAACCCATCTTTTTTCTATAGAGTGAAATTAAATGAAGACGATCACATTCTCAGCATCTTATGAGTAGATGCCACATGTAAAGTTTCGTAAACAATGGTGATGAAAGTTTAATAGGATGAGCACATATGAATCAAATTCAAGCCCATCATTATACTTTTCCATTGAAATATCAAGGATAATGTGAACTTCATCAGTAACCATTTCCATTGAAATAACAATGACAATGGGACAACTAATGTATTAAAAAAATAAAAATGCCATTGAAAAAGAAATAGCCCTAAAAAATGGCGATGAAAGAAAAATAGGATGAGCACATATGAATCAAATTCAAGCCCATCAGTAGACTTTTCCATTGAAATATCAAGGATAATGGGAACATCATCAGTAACCTTTTCCATTGAAAGAACAATGATAATGGGACAGCTAATGCATAAAAATAAAAATAAAAATTGCCATTGAAAAAGAAATAGCCCGCCAATTGAATCTGAAACATGTATTTTTTTTTCAATTTAATTTTGGGCAATAGGTCACAGGCTGCCAATTGAAGATTAAATCTTCTATTTTAGTGAAATCTGGTTCATTTGTTTCATTATTCGTTAAAGAATTATATTTTTGGTTCAACTATTTGGATTAAAGTATAGTTTTGTGTAGATCCAGCACCAAAATTTAGGATCTTTGGGCTCGATATTTTGAAAATGCAGTACTAATACAAACCCATCTCCTACTTTTCAAAGCAAAAAACGCAAATTTACAACATTAGAACAAACCCATCTCCAATTTTTCAAAGAAAAAAATGCAGATTTACAGCATTAGAACAAAGCCATCACAATAATGAAATACGCGATACGCAAACCCATCACAGGGTTTTCAAACCAATAACCCATAACTACAAACCCATCACATGGTTTTCAAATAAAAAATACACGAATAATCCATTCTATTCGTACCTCTGTGACTGCGAGCGAGAGAGGGCTTTCATTTTTGTTGTTGTATGAGAGGCGCAGAATGAGGGAGACGACAGTTTGGTAGGGCTTCCCTGCTGTGGTTTGTGAAAGATAAGGAGGAAAAAGGACAGAGAGAGAGAGAGTGAGATTTCTGGATTTCTGGTTCAGAGAGAGAGAGGGCGCGAGGGTGTATTAGGGCCCCTGTAGTTTGTGAAAGATAGAGAGGAAAATGGAGAGAGAGATTTCCGTATTTCTGGCTTAGAGAGAGAGAGGGCACGACGGAGAGATAGGGCTTGTCTGGTTTTAGAGAGAGAAAGGGAATGGTAGTTGATTTCATGTGGTTTAGAGAGCGGGAGTGGATGCATCGGTAGAGAGAGAGAGATGGAGTATGAAAAGGGTTTGAGGCAGGTAGGCCTGCCATCTTTGCACAGTAGGCGGGAGTTTGTAGGTCTAAGCTGTCTTGATTTCAAATGGAGTTTCCTTTCTACAGCGAGAGTTTCCCCTTTTGAATGGCGACCCTTCATTTTAACCCCATTAATCTGGGCCATTGGCGTACCAAAACCAAATACACGAATGGGCGTACGCCATCTTTTCCCTATATATATATATATGGAAAATGCTAAGATTAACCTACTAGCTCATATGAACATATGAGCCCAACGGGCTAGATTGAAGCTGGGCCGATCTGACGATCACGACCTCATTTCACATTTTAATGGTTTTACTACAAATCCAAAAAACTTGAAATTTTAGGTGTGTATTCTTTTCATCAAGGTGCACCAAATAAAAATATTTTAAAAACAATTCGCAAAAAATAAATCGACCAAAATACCCTCGAAATGTTTCAGAGGTATTTTGATTAATTTATTTATTGAAAATTATCTTTTTGATATTTTTATTAGATTCTCCTATTTTTGAATAATACAATACACGTCTAAAATTCCAAATTAATTGGATTCGTAGAAAAAAAATTAAAATTAAAATATGAAATGAGGTCATGACGGTCAGATCGGCCCAGATTCAATTTGGGTTGTTGGGCTCATATGAACACATATTCATATGAACTAGTGGGCTAATCTCATAATTTTCATATATATATATATATATCCCCTAGCCATAAATGGTCATTTAACACTTGTCAACAATTTAAAGATGTTTAGATCCATCATCCATCCTGAAAACTAGATGCACAAATACTCCAGCATCCCATTAAATATGGAGCACTTCTTTCTTAAATTCTCTAAATTATAAGAAGCTAGTCATATGAAAAACAACTCACAGGGCTATGCATCTCTTCATCCAGGCCAAAACTCAGAAGAATGGAATTGACTACCGTTGAAAAGTAATGAGCAATGTAAGAACCAAGGCCAACCTAACAAAATATTAGAAAAGGAAATGTCAAAGAAAGGACAAAAAGTTCATGCTCATAGAAGGAATTAAGGCATAAGATGCATGGAAGTCTAGTACCCTAACATGATTAGATGACAGGTAAAACTTACCAAGGAACCATACAAAGCAAGGTAGAAGGCATTTTTCCTGCCTGTAGGTAACAGTTTCATTCCCTATGTGAAATTGAAGATGTCAGTAACAACATAAGGAAACATATTCTTTTTTTTTTTCCTTTTCTAATTTGTTCTATAAGAAACATACAAGAAACCATTCAAAGTAAAACACACATATTATGGCTTGAAATTATTACATACATTTAAATGGTGTGCCGCAAAATGGCATATCTAGTAAAGCAAAGTGGTTGGCGGATGGCTCGTATATTTGAGAACTGCCTAGTCGTTCTGGTGGAATGCATATAAGATATAAAATATTCTTTCCAGCAGTACACAAAAATATTCTAAATCATGAGTACAGAAAATCATTCAGGAATAATAACAATTGAGACCATGAAGAATGATCCAAAATAACTGTCATGTATCTTAATCACATGATTATTTTAAGCAATCATATACAGGTTACAACAATTTCGAGTAAATGTATGGTACAGTTAAACAATCAAATTATGGTTTATTAGTAGTTAACAATGGAAAACTTTCTAAATTATCCATAATCCTGTGATTCAATCACGAAATCTGTGGTTTCTAATGCTTACCTTTGCATTGCATCCATTACTTCCCAGTTGAAAATTTCAAACAGATGCATTTATTTTAAAAAAAAAAAAAATCTGATTGTTGCTTCAGTTATCATTGCTCATTTGAAATGTCCACTCACCAAAACAATGATAAAACTCAAGATGAAGGTCCATGTTTCCATGAAAATAATTAAAGAATTGTAAACAAGAAGAAGTGGGTTATTTCCGTAGCAGATGCAAAGGGTGGCTGAACTTTATTTCTATTATGGGCAATGAGATTGTACAGGCTCACGTGCGACTATATGAATTATGTATTCATTTGATATCACTTAGTCCTCTTTTTTCTCATGAGTAGTTCCTTTTCTAATCCATTGTTCACCAGAGACAAAGGACACTAAGAAAACTTCACTAGAGAGAAGTTCTTTACAAATGACATGAGCACATTCTCTAATCTTAACGAGCAACAGATTAATGTACATAGATTATGTCTGGTAAAATAAAATAAAATATACAAAGCATGAAAAATTTTACATATACAACTCCAATAGACCCCTGTTAATCTCATGTTTTTTATCAACATGGGAGTCACTATTTATAACATATCTTTCATCATCATCATCATCATCGTCATAGCTTTTTCTAACTATTTGGGGTCGGCTACACAAATCCTGGTCTGCCTTCAGGATTCATGGAAAGTTTTGGCAAAGTTTTACATTAGCTGCCTCCCCAACACCACCCACTTTCTTTAACAAGGCTTGGCACGGGTTAAGAGAAAGTTTAAGGTCCTCACCCTTCTTAGACCACTATGAAGACTAATATGTAAATAGAATGAAGACTTCCAATCTTGATTTCTTTAGTGAAAACAATTTCAAACACGAGTTTTTCTCAGAAATTTCAAAGAACCGTATACAACAGATGTTTATAAGAACTTACACAATTATAGCATGAGAACATGTCATAGCTGCATAAACGGTATCTGGAAGAAATCGAGAATGACATAGAGGTCAAACTCAATAGCAATGATCAATCTATTTTTCTAGCACCCAACAATCCGTAACCGCTTTGTCCCCTACAAGTGTGAAGCTTTAATTATAGTTGTACACATGTAATATATTCTCATGCCATAATTCCATATGCTAAATCTATGTCCAGATCAGGTAGCACAGAAATGATCTTATAATGTTGTAACAGAAGGAAAAATAATCATGGTATTCATAGTTTACAAAGCTGGAAAAACAACTCGATGCTTGTAAATGGAAAATACCTGAAACAAAAGGATAAGGATAACAACTATAATCCCAAGGAGCATTGAACTGGTGTAGTAAAATGGCACCCATTTGCTAACATATGGAGCGAGCAACAGTACAACCAACCCAAAAGCAAGAAAAGCTAAACGCCATGGATGAGACTCTGCAAGTACGTAAACTACTAGGTCAAACCTCAATCCCAATATAACAATTTTAAAAAAATAAAATAAAAAAAATTCAATTCACAATAGTTCAATAAATGTATATGAGCAATATGAGAAACAAGACTTCAAGGTAGTTTGCATCAACCTTCTTCAGCTGATATAGTGACAGAACCAGAAAATCCATCAGTAAACTTGACATCAACAAGTCTCTCCCCATAAGGAGATATGACACTGCTCCAAGCACCCTTTTGAATAGTCTCCCATTCATCTAGTGGACAATCACATAGCCCAAGAGAAGCATTCCTGCATTCATCAAGGCAAGATAGGTACTCAGGGGGGTATCAGTATACTGTCCACACAACTTAAGTTTTCTGAACTTTTTTATTTCCATCTATACCTCTCCAATTTCTATATGCAAAGTAAAAGAATAAGGAAAGGTTCGACATATCCTTAAGATGTAAGTAGCAAGTACAAGTCTTTGTTTAAATAAATAAATAAAAATATAGCAATTACATATATTGTTCATTAGAAACTCAAAAGGCTATGGAGAACCTTCCTTTAAGGTTCCAGTTAGATATCTAAATATCTGACAAATAAAAAATAAGCAGTGATGTATAAAAGAAGCATATAAGATCAAGGCCAAATTTGCACATATAACCTAAATTTTAACATATTGGGACAAAATAGTTGCAGGCATATATGACAACCAACATTGGTAACACCAACAACAGTAGTAAATAGATAAAAGCGACATACTGGTGAAGGCAGACAGAAATCTTATGATGGAAAGCCTCTGGTACTTTCTCTGAAGGCGTCACAGCAACACGAAATGAATTGGGATAGCTCTTGAGATTTAACCTTGACAGACCTTTGACTCGAACACGATCACACAATGCCAAAGAAGTACTTTTACCATGGGACGGAACAAAAACACGTGGAAATACAAGCAGAACAGGATTGCTCGCATTGATCTCTGCAGTCCAATAACCATAACATGTCACTCACACTCTAAATTCTAAGTTAGTAGTCATTCATAGTACATGCACTCAATCAACCCACCATATACTTGTGATGCATCATTAAAAGCATGTGAAACACATTAGTCCACTAGCCATGCTAACATAGTCATTCACATGTTACCAACATTTGCATTACCTGGGAACATAAACAGAAACTGGAATAAAATCTGGCTAATATATTCATGTGGTTCACTTCAAAAAACAAATAAATAATGGACATAATTATAGTCATAGACCCCATCAGGTTTGTAAAGAATCTAAAAATGAGAGTATCTTTTGCAGTTTGAGAGAAATAAAGACAAAAATATGCAAAATTGGCAATTCTTGCAAATATCAAGTTCAGCTCAAATGCAAGGTTTTAATACCCCTAGATAATTAAGTGTACTGCCTGCTGTCCATATTTACCTTTCTGCAATTAAACTCCACGTATCCTAGTGGTTGGGTCAAAATTTGCATCAGTTTATAGACTAGTGTTACAATTAAACTGAGTTGATGCAAAGATTGAGGAAATGGTAAATCAAGAAAGTGGGTTGAACTTTAAGGAGATGAAAAGCAATTGCACTCAACAAAATAGGAGTCAGACCAAATATTTGAACTAAATTACAATTGGAAGGAGATAAATAAAACTGAAAGGAACAGTCCCAGGATCATTCTTTGGATTTCGAAACTCAGTCCTCTAGGACGTGGATTTGGTTGTCATTTAGGCAGACTTTATTTTGGTGACACACCATTGTGTGTTATTAAGTTCATGCACAGGGGGGGTGCGACAGGTACAAACTTGCATTATTCAATACAATAATACAGAAAATTTTTTTTTGATATAAAACCTAATTTTACTTAAAGCACCACTGTAACCATCAAAAGGGCCCCTTAGATATTTTCCATCCAAATGAAACACGACATCAAAGATCTAGAGGAGCTAGCTTTGTTTGACTAAGTTATTTTTACTTTTCACATAATGGATATTACAGCAGCTTCATCTCTCTAAAGAAACAGATTTCTTGTATTTTATATAACAGCGGTCATTTAAAACTAAAGTTATGAGAAAGCATAAGAAGAGAGGTTCGCACAAGCATAAATTTAAAGCCAATTCTTTCATATTTCATCTACAAAGGAAAATCAACAACAAATGAATAACTCCATTAAACAGTTGCATAACAGTTCATAAAGATAATGAGAAACTTTTCATGGCACCAAAGCAAGATAAACTAATCACATGATCACAGATGCAGACACTTAGCCAAGTCAAACAAGCTAAATTAAATTAAAATTATGCATCGTATAGTTTTGCAATTAAACAATTTCTTAAGACCGAGCTCAAACACTAACTAATAGACATCAAAGTGGGTGAGAACACCTAAAACAAATATCTCAAGAACCATAGAACGCATGTATAACCATAAAACAGGCAGAAAGAAACACAAAAACACCATAAACTAAAAGTCATGAACTCTCCAATAAAAAACAATAATAAAAGATTAAATTAATGAAACTAGCAAACATTCCCGAAACCAGATGCAATTATTTCATCAATATTTCAAAGCACTGGTTCAACATTCAATCAAGGGATGCAAGAAACCAATACTATGAATAATTACTCAACTAAAATCAACAACGTTCAAAAACGAAGAAGACATTTCACCCATGGAACTCGAGACCCTAAATCCAATTAAACCCATTTTCCAAATAAACACCTCCATGTAATCCAGAACTACACTACCAACAACAAACTTCCGAGCAAAGCCACAAATGGTCCTCTATTCAGCAAATTCCCAGTTCATTACATTATAAACCCTAGTTCCAGTAAAAACAACCGAATTAATCTAAAAAATCCACGGAAGATACAAAACAATAAAAACAAACGAGAAATGCAGAGAAGTAAAAGAAACCTTTGTATCCTGGCTCAGCAGACATGGAGCAAGTGAAAAGCGCCACAAAAAACACGCAGAAAAAAATGGAAAAGCAAGCCATTTTTCCTGCTCAGAAAAAAAAAAGAGACGCAGGAGAAAAGCGAGAGAAGATAAATTCCTATTAATCTCTTCTCTGATCCTTCAAGAGTGATTACTTCATTCTCAAGAATGGCGCCAAAATTACGCCACTTAAACGTGGGTTTTGGATTGGTTAAGGCCGCAATATCGCACGTGCTGCTCAGGTGGACGGTTGAGATTCGTTTTGTGGTAAGAAAAGGCTGGTTTGGCCATCCTACCATCATTCATCGCACCCAAAACATAATGAGTGGGGTTTGTATAAGGCCGAGCCTCTAAACATTCAAATTTGAGCCTACCTCAAAAAATCTCACCGGAAGAGGTTGTTTTGATGCTTAAATATTTTCAAATCGATAAGAGAAAAAAATGGATTTCAAGTTTTGAAAATAGTGTATCTTGTAATGTATTTTTTGCATGATCAATTTTCAAGATTTTCAAGTTATTTATAGATATGTCAATCTACACTAATTTTTAAACTTTAAACTTTATAAAAAGCTATCACAAACATTTTCAATATTAAAACTACATTGTTCAACACTATTTGAAGGCAAGCTCGAATTTGATTGTTTAGAGCCTAAGCTATATACAAACCACACCCAATATATTTTCATTTCTAATTATAAAATTTAAAGCTTTAAAAATAATATAGATCGAGCATATCTATAAAAACTTGAAAATTGACCATGCAAAAAATACATTACAAGATACACTATTTTCAAAACTTGAAATCCATTTTTTTTCTCATGTGAATGTATCTTGAGGTAGAGATGATCAATTTGAGGTTATTTGAATATCAAAACAACCTCTTCTAATGAAATATTTGAGGTGCGCCATAATTTGATTGTTTCGAGCTTCAATCCACTTATATAATTCTACAAGCAACACAAAACTTATATAGTAGAGGACCCGGTTTCTATGCGGCCACGCCCCACATGCGTAGAAATGTGGGCTATTAATAAATCTATTTTTGAGATAGATTTTTGGACTTAAATATTAAAGATATGTAATATCTAATATGGAGATCAAAATAATAATTCTACTAAAAAACACTTGGAGCCTTAGTTTTCATTGTTTTTAGATGAAACACCAACTTCCTAGTTTACACTTTTCCTACAGTAAAATCTTTGTTTTAGCCTGCCCGTGGCAAATTTGAGTGCAGGCTATTTGGTCAATTTTTTAGATCTTTTTAGTAGGGGTGCAAACTGGTTCCGGACCCAACTAGGTCTTATTTGAATATGGATTTGACCTAGGCTAAGGTCAGATCTAAAATGATTTGTACTTAAACCTGGGTCAAAAAATTTAAAATTATAAGAACTTATTTTATATTATTTTCCCCGTCTAGACCTAACCCAACCCTATGAGGTCCATACGGACCCGGGTCCAACCTACAGGGTCCAAATACGAACCCGGACCTTGACCCACTTCCGATCCGACTAACGCCGCTAGTTTCGAGGAGGTACCCGTGAATTAAACCTTTGAAAAACACCCCAAATGGAATTGGAGATATGTTTATCGCGTTAACGGCTACCGAATTGATATCTCCGAAAGGAATAAAAAAGGGCAAAATAACGGAAGTCATAATGTCGTGCATGAAAGCAAGGCTTCAAGATATTCAGGTAAGATAAGCGCGTGGATTCCCTTTCTTCCTTTGAAGGCGTAGTTAGGGTTCCAAAGTTCAAATACCAGTTTCTCAGGTCACTCCTAAGTCCTAACTCAACTAGTGGCTGAATTAGGGTTTGAAGAGTTCAAATTGTAGTTGCAGAACATGTTTAACAGGTGAAAGCTGTAGATCTGTAAATTTGTATAATATGTTGTTTCATGGTTCCCCTGCTATGGGTTGTGCGGATTTCGTAGGGGTAGAAATTTTATTTCTTTCTTTTATTTCTCTGCATGGTTTGTGAATTTGCAGTGATTTTAGTTTCCTCTCATACACTCTAAAGTTGAGAGAGCTTTTGCTTGTTCTATCTTGGTTCAATTTCAATTATTGAATTCTCAAGTTTGATCCTATGGTTGTTTGATGACTTTAAATTCTCCTCTGTCATATAGGAAAAGGTAGGGTTTAGGTGCATCCTGTGTTCGCAAAATCGAACCGGAACGGTTAACCGGACATGGGCTTGGAAGCGGTTTAACCGGCCTAACTGGTAAACCAGCCGATTCAACTGCTCTGTCCGGGCAAGTCGTTGGCGGTCAAAAAAGTTTTGAAAAAAAATACAAAAAAAAATGTACTAAAATATGAAAATCATAGAAAGAATGATTAAAACAAAACACATTCAAATGAAGTTGAAAATTAATGAAAAAAATGGATTTTAACCCATTTTATGTTTTCAAGGGCTATTTTTAAAAATTTTCTAAAAAAGATCGGAAAATATAAAAGTGAGTATTAATGACCAAAATAATTTATAATCTTTACCATAATGTAAAGAATATTTAAAAATACATTACAAATCAAATTCCTTATTTTTGAGAATTTATATACATTTCTTTGAAATTTTTTTTTTAAATACCGGTGATTACCCTAACTGCCCAAAACCGGAACAGGCCAGTCTAACCGGGCGGTTAGCGGTTTGATCGGGCGATTTTACGAACAATGGGTGCATCTGGGATGCACCTAATGTAGTGAGTCTCCCCTTCCAAAGTTCATCTCCAAATGCATCTTGGAGATGGATTTTGGATCAAAAACTCTATAGGTCTATCATCTCGAGCACTTTGATCATGAATCTGAAAAAGCGAAAAAGGAAATTTATCAAATTACCAATGAGAGACGAACAATTTAACACCTTACCCATATCCTTTGATTTAATTTCAAAATACCCATAAAAGTTACAGGATCTTGAGTTGGAATGGCTGCTAATAGGAAGAACATTAAATAGTTCATCTCTTATTGGTATTTTGACGAATTTCCCCTGAAAAAATAATGAATTTGATCCTTAAGAATGGTCTGTTCTGTCTTTTTTTTTCAATAATTCAACTTTCATAAGATCTGCATTTCAATAATTCAACTTTCATAAGATCTGGATTTTTTTTGGATCTATTCTGTGTTTGGAGCTCCAAATTCATGGATGTGAGGCAGAAATGGATTTGCATTGATTTGAGATGTGTTTTAGGTTAAAAAAACCATTGGAAACCAGGGCAGATGCATGAGTCAGCAGACTCTTCAAAAACTTTTCCTTTAGGAAATAGGGAAGACACATAAGAGTGAATCACATAATAGTGATAGTAGTGTTTGTTCTACTGCCCCCTAAAATAATTATTTTTCATTGTGGAAAAAAGCTAATGTTTTATCTGTCGCAGACCTTACAGTCATAATTACTAAGAAAAGCAAAAAGCAAGAGACATACTTTGGTCAACATCTAATGGATATAAGCTTAATTTAATGGGAAATGGCACAATCATGGGGTCTATTCACAAATGTTTTGGGGAACTAGAATGGTGTTTTTCCTTATGGATTTGTTTTGTAGTACGTGGGGGTGTTTACTGTCCTTTTTTGCAGTTAAATCTGATGGACTCAAACATTGGCTGGGGTAGAGTCCTATGGGATATTTGATGGTTTTTACAGAAAAAATTGATGAAGAGGAGAGTACTTCACACACTATGATTAGAATTGCTGAGTTGTAGATTCAGGTATAGATCTCCAATGTTCAAACTAACTTTGAGAGTCTGATTAACCAACTCCTTCTTCGCTACATTTTAGGACATTCATTGCTAATGTTACTTTTTATTTTTTTTTGGTGCTTGTCAGGGCCCCTTTTTTATCTATTCATGCTTTTGCTTCTCTTATTATTCTCGATATGCTTTTATAAGGTGCTCTCATATGGTCATTATTCAAAGGAACTCAATCTACTCCATTATGTGGATTAAAGGAGAGCTAGCTGCCTGTAGAGGTTACATCATATCTTCACGTAAATGTATGAACTCCATGATGTATATATGAGTTTAGTAATGTTGTGTTTCTTAGAGAGGCAAACTCATTGTAGATAGTCTAACAGATACAGGAGTGTCTATGGGCATTTTGCCTGTGAGGATTTTCTGTCACCATAAGTTGTTTCCTTGCATTGTAACATAATCCCCTCTTCAGTTACATTTCAACATCACACATTAAAACACATATTGCTTATTTAAAAAAAAACCGAAATTACCTGTGTAAGTTGTTCCACTTCCTGCAATGCCTACAGATGAATTTAGTACAAGATCAAATATTCTTTTAAATTCATTATCAAATACAACAGGGGGAAAAAAGATTATGTAAAAGCTAGTCTTTGACGGTCCTACTTTAATGCAGCTGAGATAATTTACCAGAGATAGCTGTTATTCTTGAAGTCTTAGATGGCTGCTGTGGTTGATGTCGAGATTGGTGGTGTAGAAATGCCCATCAAGAAGCGAAAGTTACCACTGTGGATGCTAGGAGTCACTGCTGCAGATAAAATAAGAGACACTACGAGAGAAAGTGAAGATCTTTTGCCTGACAAAGAAATAGAATTGGAGCAAGCTTCAGAATTGATAGCAAAGCCAGCTTCTGAAAGAAAAAGACCGGACAAAAAGCTTGTGACCCGTGAAGCCGATGATTCAGATTTGGAGGTAGGGTGCCTGGTCAGGTGCAAGAAAAGGTCAAGGGCTCAAAAATCAAGAAAGGATGATACAGAGAGTGATGATTTGAGAGGCAATGGTGAGAAAATTAAACCAGAGAAGAAGTCCAGGAAGAGAAGTTGCACAGTGAAGAGGACTGTTCGAGAGCCTGTTCATTCAAAGAACCGAAGTTCAGAGGATTTTGAGAGAGAGAGAAGTGGGGTTGCCGAGGGCCTCTCCTCGGCTGGAGACAATGGAAATGGAGTAGAATTGACAATGGAGGATCTCATAAGCATGGCTGAAGAGGTATGCAGTTGTTTATTCCTTCTTTCTTTTCTTCTCGTTACTTTTTGTGTTTTCACTCCTGATGAAGCTGAAGCAAATCCCATGACTTGTAATACGTGGGATAAATGTTTTTTTTGGAATATGCCAGAAGGCTAAAGTATATTAATGTCTTTGACCTATTACCATTTGATAATTGGAAACACCACACAGGATTGAGATATCTATGAGCAGAAAGCAAACCTTCCCCCCCTCCTGGGGTCGCCCCTGGCCCCTCTTTCTCTACTGTGTGTTCCCATTATATTAATTATGAATTAATCCTAGGACCATAATCTGCGCTATCAGATGAGATAAACCAGGACCTATGCTTACTTCTGACTAGCCTGGAGGCCTTTTTCTTTTGTTAAATACTATCATGAGGGCCTTAACTACAGGCGTTACTCCTTGGTCATTAAAGTCTACACTGAAACTTCACATTGATGGAGTCACCTCGTTTGCATGCACTTGATATATTTTATGTTATAAATTTCTGCACATTAGTTTGGATTGGGCTGGAATTAGAATATAGTGGTTGCAAGATTGTTATTCTAGCCAAGGATGATCCGTTTTGTGCCATATTCGGTCTGAAATTTGCTATACTTTTCCCCATCCTATATACATTTAGTTGCAAAATCATGTGTGTTCAGGTTTCAAAACAATTTTAAATGTTGAGATGGAGCCACTTTTATTGACTTTAATTTCAACAGTGAAACACGTGAAATTTTGTGGATCAATCTTCTGTGCGATTTCTGGAGTTGTGTTCTAGTGGGCAAGAGGTTTTTTCTATACCTCTGACTTTTGGTATGTCTGAGAGAGAGAGAGAGAGAGAGAGAGAGAGAGAGAGAGAGGAGAGAGAGATTCATTTGTTCAATTTCATAGGGCTCGTGTATATTGCAATTATGCTTTGAGAGAGAGATCTTTTGTTCTAATTCATAGGACTTACGTATATTGCAATTGTGCAGTATGTCAAAGCAGATGCGGAGAAGGAAAACAAACCAATTGTAAAGAATCCATCAATATGCAACCAAAAAAACCAAAAGCCAGCGGAGAAAGAAAGTTCTCCATACAAAAGCCAGATGCCCTTGGGCCCAGGCAGTGGCACAGATGACACCACTGATGAGATGCTCGGCCTCTTTCTTGGCCCGTTACTCCCCAAGCCCCCTGATAGAGATAGAGATAGAGAGAGAAAACTTGAAGAGTTTGAAGAGGAACTGACCATGGCTTGTTATGAATTCAGTAAAAAGGTAAACAAAGAGACAGAGAGAGAAGAGGAACCCTTGACGAAGAAGAAAAGCAGCCTCAAAGACAAGGTTTCATTGTTTCTAAACTAAGGATGTATTACACTTTGTATACACATGATACATATTAGGCATTGTATTTATGCACGCATTTTGCATTAAGGTTCAGTTTTGTCATCGTCATCATCCGAGCTTTATCCAATTATTTGAGGTCGGTTACATCAACTATGTAAATACTAATGTACAGTATTATTTGATCATTCTTAATGGCATGGTTATGCCATGCATGTATTTTACCTGTGTTTTCATACTTTGAATGGATGGCTCAGTTCTAATGACACTGCGCAGGAGTAAATAGAGGGCAGTTGTGTTTGTGTGGCGTAGAGAGAGAGAGAGAGGGGAAGGGAGGGAGATGAGAGTGGGCACTAGGTAACTGGTTAAGGTGGTTGGTGCTTTATGACCTGTTTGATTGATGGAAGCCGTAGCTGCCAGAGCTGTCACTTCTAGATATTGTAGCACTTCCTTGTTTTATAATAACGAAGTGTTGCACAATTTCTGGAAGCCGCAGCTTCCTTTTATGTTAAAAACTACGTTCCGCCACTTCAACTTGGGAAGATGTGGCTTCCAAAGCCATACTTACCCTAGTCAAACATGCCATATAGGTTCCCTTCTCATCAAGTTCCAGTGAACATTCAAGACAGAGAGAGGGCGAATATTGCTTCAAATAGTTGTAGAGCTCAAAAGGCAAAAATCTCAAATTTTTTTTTCAAAAAGAAGAAAAAAAACCATTCCCAAGTAGTTATGTCCAAATGTGTCAACATATAATATACATCCAGACGTGCATTCTACGTGCTGTATGTTTTTTTTACCCTAATAATTATGAGAACCATCTTTGTTTCATGAATTGAGGGGTTACATTCACAGGTGAAAACGTGAGACCAGTTTTACGGCCCGTTTGTTTGATGTCTTCCACCACTTGTTTCATGTATTGTCTAAATGTGAATTCCTTGTAGAGAGGAGGTTGCATGGGAGTTATAATGGGAGTATCATAGGAAGGGCAAAAGAAAAAGGCCGTAGAATGCCTCTCTGCCGTTGGATTAGCCATCACTCTATGTTCCACACTTTTGTACACACCGTTGCTCCATGCCTGCAGAATTCACAGTTTAAAACTTATATCGGGCTTGGCTCGAGTAGTTAGCAGCTAACATTTAACAACATTATATCTCAACTTTGATTCCTCCTGTTGAACATCTCAAAAAAGAAAGAGGATTTTTTTGGTAATTTTATATAAGAAACTCGCAATCTATTTAAAAGGAAAAGTTTATAT